ACGATAAATGAGAATAGAGAAAGCAGGACACGATGACACGAGTTTCATTTTAGCTTGCTGTGCAAAACTGCACTTTTTGCCTCTTTCTCACAATAACTTCCTGTTTAAACAAAGTGGGCGGGGCCTGAAATGTCATATTTGAGGTGCTCAATCAGCGACAAGACAAGCCGGAGCTCAGAGCATGGGGGCGACAGAAGAACGCACAGCCAAGTGCGTCGATGCGTTAGTAATGTTAGCGTACACAAACGCACAAAAACACATGGAAGCTTTGTGCACGCCCTCCGTCAGACGAGTGATATGCAACCTCATGAAGTGATGAGTACATTCGCAGACAGTCTCCGTCTAAAAATAAAATCAAATCCTGATTTATTTATTTTTGTCCAAGCTGGCTCAACATGTAAAACAACGTTTGGGTTTTGTTCTCCGTGGAAGTCAGCGAAACCACAAAAGACGTCTCGCGTCAACGTGGGACGCACCCAGATCTTAAAACGCGACTGCGTGGAACGACAGCGAACATCTGGAGGCGTGAAAACAATATCAAAATGCTCGACCTTATCGGCATGCAGAGACTTGTTTCAGAAAAATAAACACACAATGCCTATTTTTTAATATTCTATTTTTTCTTTTTTTTTTGTCCTCGCTTCATTTTGATATCATGCAATATAGACGTGCAAAAAAGATAACATCTATTTCCACAAAATACATTTTTATTGTAACTATAAAAGGCTGTATTTAAGAATGCTATCTAGTCACATTTTATTTTAGCATCGTTATGCTAACCTACCACTGATGCGTCTAGCCCCCGAGTCGTAGTGCTGTTGCATTCTGGGAGGGGCCTCCCCCAGAGGACTGACTAACACTAACATGGCGGTCCCTCCTTTAGTAGCAGGGCATTAACACAAAGTGACACCGAGGTGCGTCGTCTGTTAGTCGAGCTTCACCCGTCCCGACGATGCGCTTACAAATATGGTTCATTTGGCACTTGTCACATTTTTCTCAATATAAAAGTAGGTCTCGTCTTATCTAACGATGCTCGAAAGGAACACGCTTAGAGTTGAACTCTGTCTGTTTTGGCACACGTTTCATCTCCTCGGATTAAAATCACACTTTTCTTTTCAACAGAGCAACTGTTACACTTCAAACTGCCGCTCGACACTAGCTTCTCCAGCTAACGGACAGGTTTCGATATGTTTCCAGCTCGTTTTTAGTACATCTGTTATCATTAAATAGCAGCATTGTCCACAAATTAAACATAGATGTACTTGTGTAAACCTATCCAGCTTCTCCAGGTGAATCTAAAAGCTCCTACGGCAGACGGAGGATCAGAGACAGGACGACACAACATGCCTCTATATGTATTGCTTCCAGTACTTGTCACATTTTAGTTCAATCGCCTAACGATAAAACAACTACTGCTGGGTAAAAGATTATTTCAGATAAACGAGATGAAAAACTAAACCTGTCCAACAGGAACTGAAGTCATCTAGCACAACATTTCTATGCACTTCAACCACTATGAAACTATACTGTGCTGCATGCACGCCTTTGCTTTCTGCAGAAACACCTGACGTTTCATTGTAAAATATTACTTCTTTTTTTTTTCCAAACATCTTGATGGATTAATTTGTATAATAAATGTTTTTTTTCATGGCGTAATAAACCAGTAAAGAAAAAGCACGTCTCAAATTGATAATTTGTCAAATTCAAAGCAAAAACGAGTATCTAGGAAGCTCATATATGAGCAAATCCTTGACACTTTTAGTGAAAAAAAAACAATAAACTGGCGACAAATTATTACAAATGCATGCAGCAAAGTATAATTTATGTTTATGGCAGAACAGAAGCAAACTACCCCACTAAATCCAGTCAAATCCTACCAGAGTGTGTTTGTGCAATTCCAACTGAAAGCTTGTCAAAGTAAAATGCACTGATCTGAGCTACAGATGTGTTTGGTGCCCTGCAGCCTGCTGGCTGCCACTTCCTCTGCTCGCTCCGTAGCGTTTGCTGGGGCAAGCAGCAGACATGCATCGATCGTAACACCAGACATGGTCACCCATGGAGCGATGTGTTAGGAGGAGAGGGGGTGTCGGGATGGGAGTGCGCTGGAAAACTGAGGACGGTGGGAGGGTGAGGAGAGTGTGGATGGGTTTAGATGGGAGTAAAGAAGCCTCCTTACCGAGCTGCAGAGATAAACCCTCACTGGCGCTCCAACAGAGAACGACACAATCGGTCACACGTGGGTGATTTCTACAGATTCAAAAAGTCTTTGTTTTTTGTGTATCTTAAGGGGGGGGGGAGCTCCCTCCCTTCACCAGCAGAAATGAAACCCCCTCCTCATTTGAATCTAAACTCACATTCAAAGTGAACAAGGATTTACCCCGAGTTTAAACTGTTCATGAAGCTGCATTAAAGAATTAAAAAGAATAATTTGTTCCTGCCGCTCAACTCCAGACTCTCCAGCTCCCCGAACGGGGAAGAAGAACTGAAGAGATCTGAAGCTCGACTGATCGATCCTCTTCGTTGACCTAGTCTCTCTCCTCTCCTTCCATGTTTAGATATGCTTTTCCTTTAAAGTTCTTCATATGCATCCTACATATATTTCATATATGTGCAAGTTTTTTTTTCCCTGCCATACAAAAATCGTCCAGTCACGCTCTCCATCCCTGACCTCGTAGGTCGATAAAACTGCTTTCCAGCTTCACAGTGCATTAAGACAAAAAAATAAAAATAAAAAGTTCAGTGTACTCCGAATATTAAAACAAACAAACAAAAAAACATAAATAACAACAACAAAAAGCAACATCTTCAGCAGCCTTGTGGGTCTACAGCGGGCAGTAAACCTGTTGCCAATGGCAACCTGCCGTTTTCTGCAGGTGGAAATGAGCTCTGCTCCTGGACGTTTGCTGAGAATCTGCTCGGCCCTTCACCTGGCGGCGGTCGGACGGTTGTTTGACACGGACAAGGATCGAGGAGGGTGTTTATCTCCTTTAAGTGATATGCACGCTGCCGTTGGTCAGCAGCTCTACCAGCAAAGCTTCAGCAGTGGACCCCAGACAAACGTCCCCTCGTCCCACTTCCCTGTCCCCCCCCTTTACTCGAGGTTTGCATTTCTCAGTAGTACGCAGGTCATGTTAAGTGCTTGATCTAGTCTGTTTGAGAACGAGTCTCAGCTCATCAGCTCGACTAAATGATTCGTTTTAGTTGCAGCTTCACGCAGGAGACAAACTGCAACCGGGCGTTTTACTACGAGTGCAGACAGCAGGGATATTCTGCAGCATAGCTGAGGGTCATAATCTGGCGTTTAATAATCTGGTTAATATAGCTGCACTGCCGTGTGGGGTGGGAGTGGTTTGATATACTTTAAACTAAACTAGAAGTCTGCATCATAGATATGAGCAATTTGCTTTTGTAGCACCAAATATGGCATTATAATGTTTTTTTTGTGTGTGTGTGTGTTCCCTGCTCTGCTGTTTGACTGGATATATCACTGTAATGATCTTAATGCCTGGGGCGGCTTCCTTACTGGACTTAAATAAGACATATATTACACTATGTAACATTACTATTCACCTTCAGTCCACTTACATTAAAACAAAAACAGTTCAAACGAAACGTCTCATTTACATTCATGTCAACCTGAATTCACAGATTCAAAAGGAAACCGGAGTTTTTTTTTTATAGGGGAGATCTTGTTAATAAACAGTGACGATGGCGATGTGTTCCGCTGTAATGAGACAATATAGTCGTTAGTGTTTATCTTTTAGGACCGCAACGATCCCGTGTGCTCGCCACAGAATCACGCTGATCCCTTCTGGGTTCAGCTGTGAGGTGTCGTCAGCGTGTGCCTCCGCTTTTCATCTACAAGCCAGAAAGGTTGGGATGCAAAATGTAAATGTGAACAGAGTACAATCATTGGCAAATCCCATAAATCACTATTTATTCACAATGGATTATAGTTGATATGTCAAATGTAGTGTTTTTGAATTTTAACAAGTCTCACAATGATGGGCCCGGAGGAACAAATACTTAACTATTCACTAGTAGCACAATGGCTCAGTGGTTAGCACTGTTGCCTCACAGCAAGAACGTCCTGGATTCAATCCCCGGTTAGACCCGAGAGTTTGCATGTTTTTCTCATGTTTGCGTGGTTTTCTCTGGGTACTCTGGCTTCCTCCCACAGATCAAAAACATGTATGTTAGTCTGCCTTCAGGCCCACGCCTCCATTGCAAAAGAGATCTGTGATCTCAGTGGGATTTGTCTGGTTAAATAAAGGTTATTAAAATTTAAAAAACTAACGAGGTTAACTATCAACTGGGGATAAACAGGCTGAACGCAGCAGAAGTAAAGATGGGCAGAGGTTCACCAGTCTGCAGACAAACTGGGTCTAACATAGTGGAACAATTTCAGAACAAAGTTCCTCAACAAAAAATCTGGAAGACTTAAAATCTCCATCCTCTGCAGTTCCTAATCTCAACTACAGATTAGAAGAATCTGTAGAAATCTGAGCTCAAAGGACGAGGCCCTGGGCCCACTGCATTAAAACCAGGTCTGGTTCTGTTCTGGGCTCTGCAACACTTCCGCATATCATCGTCTGTAAACACAGCTCATCCACAGATGCTGCTTAAAGCTCTATCAGACAAAGAAGAAGCCAGATGTGAAGACCGTCCAGAACTTCTACTGTCCGCTCTGGACCAGAGCTCGTTTCAAATGGACGGAGGTGAAGTCCAGAACGGCTCTGAGGTCAGACGGGTCCAAATCTGAAAGTATTTTTGGAAACGATGGACGTGACGTCTTCTGAACGGGACCATCAGATCACATTTCATTAGTCCTATCAAGTAGGAGATGTTCTGTCGTGAATAAAACGTGTTTATGAGATTTTTAAATCTTTGCGTTCTGTTTTTTTATTTACATTTTCCCACAAACTTTTCAGAACTGTGGTGAAACACCAGAACCACACGTGGGGGGGAAGGGGGGGGGGGGGGCGCCGCCACCCTGCAGGGCATCACAGGTTGTACGGGCGTGTGTGTGTGTGTGCATGTGTGTGTGTGTGTGTGCGAACAAAAAAACGTTAACCCCTCCCCACCACACACCTCCCCTCAGATCCACCTCACCCACCGGTCCTGTCCCGGCGGGGAGGTGAGATCCGATACAGGAGGGAGAGTAAAGGTGGGGGGAGTCGGGACGTTTCTTCTTCCACACAGCTTCTTGCTCATTACAAAGTTTTTGATAAAAAGGGCGGGGCAAAAGAGTGGGGGGAGGGGATTTGAGGGAGGTGGGGCAGATCTAGAAGAAAAACAGAAGCCCTGCTGTAGAATATGGGACGTGGGCTGAGGGGGGGGGGAGGAGGGAAGGGTAAGGGTTGCTTCCTTACAGGATTCAGGGTTTGAGGGGGTGGAGGGTTGTACCCTGTAAAAACACCAACCCTCCCCCTCTCTGCCCCCCCTGCCTCCCTCCCCCCCGTAGGCTCTCAGGCATTCAGCTCTGTCCACACAACACACGAACAGACAGCTTAATTTACTGAACGAAACAAAACGAACAATAAAAATCCCAAAAGGTCAAGACGTTAAGTAATAAAACTTATTTACATTTTACACATTTTTTTCTTGGTTTTTCGGCGCTCCTCTCCCTCCTCATCTTCTCCGCACATTTTGCTTTTGTGTCAAAAACTTTTTTTTTAATACTGAAAACACGCAGAAGAAAACCGATTCCTTCCAACATTTTTGACCTCCTCTCCATTTTCCTTTCACACTCTCGCTTTTTCTTTAAATTCTCCTCCCCCGAGCCCCCTTTCGTTTCTCTTTTTTCCTCTTTTCCTCCTCGTTTCTCATTGGCTGTCAGGTTTAGCCCACCTTCTGTGGGTTGGTGGCGCGTACCCCCTGCTCGTAGGTGATCCGCTGGCTGATCAGGTACTGTGCGGCCTGCGTGGCGGCCTGTGAGCCCGTGATGGTCACCTTCCTGTTCCGGGTTCCTGGAATGAACTCGCCTTTCTTGGAGATCTGGATCCTGGCGCCGGTCAGCTCCTGGTACTCCACTAGCGTCTTCCCTCCTTTCCCCAAAATGGCTCCAACCAGGTTTTCTGGCACGGCGATCTCAACCACTTCCTTCGCTCCTTCTGCAAGCTTTTCTGTCGCCAGTAGAGACGACGCCATGAGTGGGGACGCAGCGCTCAGGTAGCCGTTGGTGGCGCCGGTAGCTGCAGCTAAGGATCCCAGAGAGAGGCCCCCGAGACTGGCTGCAGGGTGAGCTGCGCTGGTGGACGCATCACTGGCATAGGATGCTAATAAATTGGCTGCGGCTGCTGCTGCTGGGTTGGCGTTGGCCGCCACGGCGGCTAACACCCCTGAAGCTGCTGCTGGGTTCAGCCCCAAGCCCAGAGAGTTGGTGTTGTACCCGTAGCTGGCCAGAGTGTTGAGGGCGGAGGAGATGGCGAGCAGGTCGTTGCCTGAGAAGCTGGACATGGTGGTCGGGAAGGCTCCAACTCCAGCCAAACCTGCCTGACCGAGCAGAGAAGAAGCTGTAGCTGCCGCGGCGGCTGCTGCCGCCGGCATCACCTCGGTGGAGTTGGCATACGGGGACCCGGTGGGGTTGGAGTTGGCCACAGGCCCTGTGACGTTAGAGTAGGAGATGTTGAGGCAGGAGGAACTCTGCGGGTCCTCCTGGATCTTTTGGACGATGATTTCCACTGCCTTTCGGTTCTGCTCCGGCTCACCACTGATGGTGACCACACGCTCCTGCAGGTTGATGCCCTCGGGCTTCTGGGAGAGCTGGACCCATGCACCAGATTGCTCCATCACCGCTTTGACCGTAGCTCCACCTTTCCCGATGATGAGCCCGGCCGTACTGTTGGGGACGATCAGCTTGGCCTGGTGGAGAAAAGACAAACGAGTTGTTGAGTTACCGCACCGTTACAGAAAACTTTAGAGCAATTTACCAAATAATTAATTTCTACAAGATCATAAATATGAGTCAAACGCAAAAGACGTTCATCATTTAGAGACATGGTGTTTTATTAGAATAAACAAAACCTTAAACAAGTAACAAGTAGAAATTCTGCAATCCTGTGTGGACAATGAGCTGAATGACTGATGAATTTTATTGAAAAGGCTGAAACAATCAGAACACAACCAACAAATAACCAGCAGAACAGGAGCTAAAACCAGTAGAACAAGAGCTAAGACCAGCAGAACAGGAGGTAAAACCAGCAGAATAGGAACTAAAACCAGCAGAATAGGAGATAAAAACCAGCAGAATAGGAGATAAAACCAGCAGAATAGGAGATAAAACCAGCAGAACGAGAGCTAAAACCAACAGAATAGGAGCTAAGACCAGCAGGACAGGAGCTAAAACCAGCAGAACAGGAGTTAAATCCAGCAGAATAGGAGCTAAAACCAGCAGAACAAAAGTTAAAACCAGTAGAATAGGAGTTAAAACCAGCAGAACAAGAACTAAGACCAGCAGAACAGGAGCTAAAACCAGCAGAACAGGAACTAAAACCAGCAGAACAGGAGCTAAAACCTGAAGAACAAGAGCTAAAACCAGCAGAACAGGAGCTAAAACTAACAGAATAGGAACTAAAACCAGCAGAACAGGAGCTAAAATCAACAGAGCTAAAAACAGCAACATAGGAGCTAAAACCAGCAGAACAGGAGCTAAAACCATGCACAACAGAAGCTAAGACCAGCAGAACAGGAGCTGAAGACTAAAATTAGCAGAGCAGTGGCAACAAGTTGAAAACAGCAAAATAATAATAATGCAGTAACTAAAAGGAAAAACAAGAAGAGACTATTGCTCTAATTGGAGATAAATACTGAAGTAGTACAAGACAAACATGTCGTTTGCTGAAGCAGACCAAACAGGAAACGTTAACGGAACTGAAAGGATTTCAGTAAATTTTTTATTTATTATTATTTTTCAAACATTTAGCCATGTGAACATCTAAGAGAGCACAAAGTGTGAGCTCTCAGCGCTGCAACAGGGAGCGTCCTCTTCTGTCTCCAAACTGAAGACGCTTTATGAGAATGTCTTTCAGACGTGTCCTTGATGAAGACGGAGGACAAACAGAAACGAGGAGCGAGCGCGTGAATTTGAGCGTGACGACATGTTCGAGAAGAAACAGACGGAAATTGGAGGAGCACAAAACCTGCAACATGTCCAGTAATGACAAAAGATTCTTTTTTGTTTTTGTTAAATATCAGTTTAGTGACTAAGAGAGAGAGAGAAGGGAGGAGGAGGAGGAGGAGATGAAGAGGTAGGTGCACGGAGTGGGAGGGAAGGATGGATGAGACAGAGAGATGGTTTCTGAAGAGGTTACTCGTGAAAAGAAAAAA